CCTCATCATTTAATTCATATGATTAGGAGGCAGTGACAAAAGCTTCCGACACCCTTCCTCACGGAAAGAAATGATAGATGGACGTTGGCCCGTCTCTCACCAATCCAGCTCTGTCTCTTTCTGCAGGCCTCTCTGAGTGACGCCCAGCAGGTCCTCCTCAAGCTGGCGCACTCGATCCGTCGCCTCCGTCAGCCTCCTCCTCACCTCCTCCCGCTCCTCCGACAGACACTGCGAGGAGCGCAGGAGCTCCTGGGGAACAGAGGGCATGCGGAAAGATCACGACTTTGGATTCGGCGGCGTGATTCAGCAGGCTGAATGTTGAGTCACGCTACACCGGCGACTGAATGACAGGTGGTTCGTATCTCGCTGCATTCCGTTCAGATGATGTTATCTTTTGCTACCGTATAACAGCAGAGCAATAAACTCTAATCTTGACTTTTTCAAAATTGCAAGGCAAGGAGACAGCGATAACAAATTGGACATGTGAATATGAATTTAGATGTTTCGATATTCCAGGTGTTTTAATTCATCTTTTGAGTTGTCACTACACTACTTCTATAATATTTTCTTTTGTTTGTTTACTTCATGTTGATTCTATTACACTAATGCTCCCATCGCCCCCCCCCCCCCAATCACCTGTAGACCATTCACGTCGTTTCCTGCTGCTGTTAAATGACTAAGAATGAAAAGTGCAATGTATATGCGTGTGTCATAATCGTGATAGATGTTCAAGTCACACTGTGGAAAAGTCGCAGGCTCAACATGACAAATAACAGTAGTGGTATGCTGCAAAGGCAAGCGTGAACAAACGTCATGTGGCTTGTGCCGTGCGATCAATGATAAGAGGATGTCAGTTGTCTTCACGTGGCGCATCTCCCGAGGTAACAAAATTGTTGGAGCTTGTGCGTCAATCAGTGACAAGGAGCAGCAAATCAAGCGTGACTAAAATCAGTTGTCACCAAATGAGAACTACTCCACACCCTCATTTGCAATTTATTTACAGCGCATGCACACACATAGCTGCACTGGTTCAAGACGCGAGGACCTGTAACGTCCGAAGTGGCCATGCGCGCAGTAAAAGCGCAGAGTACATGACTCCAAAGGGCTTAGCTCTGCGAACATCACGAAGATTTTTTTTTTTTATGGCTGCTGTTTGAGAAACACTTTAGCGGTTCATAAAGACCTTATAAAAAAGTGTAGTCATAAAATTAGCAGCCACAAAAAAATGTACTTAGCATCGCATGTAAAACTCAAAAGGATATTTTCATCAAAGCGTGACGTGCCGACTGTAAAAATAAACGTGGAGGCGCACACAGAGGTTATACATCTCGAAAATGCAGTTGAATGAAAAGCGGAGTAGTAATAACAGACTGTGTGTGTGTGTGTGTGTGTGTGTGTGTGTGTGTGTGTGTGTGTTACCCGTAATTTATGGCGATTTTGCCCTTCGTAAAAAGAGCAACTAAAAAGTCTAACTCAAAGCAGCCTGCTGTCGTTGGGCCTGCGCCACACACCACCGCTAGAGGGCGATAGTGCACAAGAATCCAAAGCTGATCAATCAGATCACATCTTGCAACCAAACGAGTTTGTCAAATTAGCCATTAATACTAATAGTAGCCACGGGAGAGTGGAAAACATTTTATGCGTTTCACAGAAATATATATTTTTAAATCTCTTTGTTATAATGAGCAACCGTGTTTTTCAGAGTCAGCCTAATTTGCCAAATGTATGCATTTCAGTACTACACAATTTAAATGAAAATGAAACAGAGACGGGAAGAAAAAAATAGTGAGAAAGCCATCGCGTGACTGAGGGGTGTTTGTCCCTCAGCCAGGGCAACGGCGGTTTTGTGAACTACCCTCCTCTCATTCCACACATGGCCAAAAAGGGTTTGCGAGCATAATGAGTGTGTGTACGTGTGTGTGTGTGTGTGTGTGCTTTGGGGAGCCCAGTGGACCTGCAAGTGTGTGAGTGCGCGTTTGACGTCATGTTTGTTAAACTCTGTGGTTGCGATGGCATCGTCCTTGACGCCGGATGCCCGGGAAATCGGAGTCGCAATTTCGTTCCGGCCCACTGAGCTGGGTCGTTAAAGCCGCAGACAAAAGATTGCCGTGCACATACACGTAGAGTTAAAGACACACGCGCATGCCGTAGCTAATTGTGTGTCTCTTGAACTTGGATGCAGATTATTCATAAATCCGGTGCCTTTGAAGACTTTAGACTTGTGATCACTGGTGAGAAACCGGCTCCAGCTACTTTAAAAAAAAAAAAAAAAGTACATACTGAACTTCATCACCTTCATTGTTGCGTAGGCCTTCTATTTGTGAACTATTTTCAGCAGAGGTCCCAAACTTTTTTCTTTTTTTTTCACCACGGAACAGCTTCATCCAGAGCAATTTTATGACGAACCGGCATTTCAAAATAGAAAAACAGTTGATTGGAAGTCTACACTGACAAATAATTGAAATCTGACCTGGTTGTGTGTGCGCAGCAAGCAACACGTCTCCCTCTCCTGCTCCCGCTCCCGGGAAAGTCGCTTCTGCTCATCCTGCAGCTGCTGCTTTTCCTCCTGGAGGAGCCGCATGGCCTTCAGGAGCTCCCTGCGCTCCTGCTGCGCCTCCTCCACACGCTGCCAAACGGTAAGAATGAGGAGAAGTGAAATATGTACAGTTTTATTTGGATACCACTTTGCGGTGTGCGTGTGTGTCCAAGGCTGAACAGAATCGAATGGCCTATAATCCACATCCAAGGGGTCGTACCTCAAGCAGGCCAGTCTTGGTGGTGACCACCAGGATGTCTGAATTGCTGTCATCTTCACTGACAGTTAGCAGTTCCTCGGTGGGTGTGGCTGACCTGAACTGGAAAGGTGTGCTTGCCCCTCTTATGTCACCGCCGTGTGTCACGTAACAGAACTGGTAGAATTCCCCATCAGACTTGGGAACATAGTAACCTAGACGATAGAAGAACGGAGGTATCAGTAGGAGTATTCAGTTGATACATGTATCTGCTTCGCACTGAAGAAAGTCTGATTTGGATTCAATTCTGCACAAACTTTTGTTTTTAATTAGATGGGGGTTTTTTTTCCACTAATGTCCACTGTGATTAGAAGGTCTTTCGCTCGCCTGGTTCACCATAGGGTGCGTTAAGTGCAGGAAATCCATCTGCAAACCACGTCTACTGCCTCGTGACACATCGCAGCATGCGCTCATATTTTCATTGTGTAAAATCGGACCATTCCAGGGACAGTAAAAACTAGTTTGCAGGCCCTTACCGTGCGGTTTCAGAGGCGCTTTAAGTCCCCGGCCCGACATGTGCGGTTATGTTTCCTTATGAAATAAAAAGTGCTGCTTTTTATGTGCGTCATAAAATTGCGAAGTTACTTCGGAAAAGCCTGGGTCGGCACGCCGTCTTAAAGCGATGTGCGCGCGCGGCGTGTGTACCTTGAAACACCACAGTCCTGTGCACAGTACTTCCTGGTTCATATTTTTCAGGCATGGGGGACCACAGGAAGGTGTAGTAATCTCGAGCTGTGCTCCAGCCCACCTGAGGACACACCACATGCAAGGAATGAAAGGTAGAATAAAAACATGCACGTCCAGGAGATCTTTACTCCAGTATCAACATATTTGAATCGCAACCCGGCATGTACTATTTTTGCCCTTCATCAAAACAACTTAGGTCATACTAGTTACATATTCAGGAGTCACATTCAGTCACAAGAACGGCGCAGAGGTAGGAGAGCAGTGGTTCACGGTCTTTCTTGCGCCAAGGCACCGATTTAAAGGACTGGGCTGAAGCTCTGTTTGTCACATCGATTATCAGGAAGACAAATGCCAACATGCTGGAAGTCGGACAAGTTCAGGGATATTACACTCAAACAAATTATGTATTATGTATGGTATAAACGGAGCGCGTCTCGTGGGTGATAGTGTAAAATGTGTGTCTGTGTGTTGCCGGGGGTGTGGGTGAGGCAAAGAAAAGTTTTACAATTTTACACAACATAGCAAGGGAGAAGTTGGGACGGCGTGTGTTGCAAGGTGGCAGATGATGAAAGTAAGTCCCGTGTCATAAACCTGTTGCTCCAAGCTCATGTCCGCATGATTGCAGAGCCGCGCTCACGCGTGCGACAACTACTTTGTTAATTATGAGAAAAAAAATGTCACGCCACAAGAGTTTCTCACTTGGATGGCAGCCGCATAGCCGTTAGTGGCTGTGCAGGAAGGAGCAGGATGCATGCCACTGAAACGTGTCACGAAATGTGTGACAGGAACCCGCTCGATTGTGGAAAGGGGATCCACAAATTTTTTTTTTTTTTTTTTTTTGTAAGTTGAATGTATAAAATGTTACCTCTTAAGTTGCGCAAAAATGCAGAGTCTTAACTGGTGTTGTGCACGTCACTTTGAAAATCTAAATCGACAAACGGCACGGCTGTGTTCACCTGCTTCTATTTTGTGACGCTACTACATCAAGGGGTATCGGTACCGGAATTGAGGAAAATTGTGATGAGTTTCATCCGATAAAGGAAAAACAGTTTTCACGTGCTTCTGTCCTTTCTGTCTTGACCCGCAATGGCCTCCCGCCAGCTAGGCTTGTCTATTCACGCGTATTTGCAGAACAGGGAGGACACATAAATAATTTTGCTAATTGCAGAGTGAAGTTGACTTTGGTATGATGTGCATTCCAGAACGGCAGTGATGTTATAAAGTAATCACAGGCACGTTGACTATCAATCATTCAGCCAAGGTGTGAGGGAATGGCACGATGACACCTAAATTATACTCTTGCGTGGCGGGTTAGTCCCTTCTCACCCAACAAACATGCCACGACCAATATCCTCCACGGGGCTTTTTAGACAGCTGTTGGCTTCATCAGATTGAAAATAAATCAACATTCGAACAGAGAAATATACTAATGGGTTGATAGGAAAATTACAAACGCTGACAAGAGTGTACAATGCTGGGGGGGTTGCAGTCAATACACCTTTACACGGTTGGCTGTGAACACTTTCGGTCACTAGGAGGCGTCGTTGCACAACTGGATTGAAGCAAGTCAGGCTCTGCAGTGAGTCATCCCTGTATCCTGGCAGCTTCCACTCTCTCTCTCTCACCGAAACAGGCGTGATATGTACAGGACTGAATGTTGCTGGGAATGCTGTTTAATGCACAGACAACACCCAGATCCTCTGGAATTGTGTGAGGGCTTAGATACAGACATCAGATGCCTTCTCCAACACGATGCCCTAACCATTAAACAAGTTTAATAAGCGCCGATTGCGACAAACCATTTTCCAATCGACTTTTTCCAAATAAATTGACAACAACTTGATCCATTTTTTTCATTGAGCCGGCCGATTTGAAGTCGACGCGTTAAAACAATGATAAAATGTTTTCTTTTTGTCTTTATGGGGGACATTTAGTTTTTTATTTTGCATTTCTTGTTCACTCGGTCTAGATTGTATAGGCTTGATTCAAGAGTAAATGGAAGGATGGCGAGGAGGAAGTAGAGATCAGATTGATGACCTAGACACAAATGGGTAAAGTGGTTCACAATGTTTGTGCCCCCCCCCAGCCCCCAGTGCAACCTGCTGCATCGAGTCCACCATGTACACTCTAACTGCTTGCGAAGCCACCACATCAAGGCTTGTGTTGAAGCGTTGGCAGCGCTTGGACGGGCTGAGCTATTCGTGTGGAGGCGGATGTCGGCGAAATTACTCTGCAAGGGTCTGAATGAGCATATGATTTACCTTGAAGATGCCCACCCAGTCTTTGGGGTGAGGTGTGATGTAAGGGGTGAGAGTGTAGCGACACTCCAGGGGTGCCTGAGGCAGGAAACTTTTGCCAACATTCTGGAAGATGACGTGGGCAAAGTTGGACGTTTCCATGATACTGACACTGCTGCCAGGTGAGGAATCCACCACCTGGAACGAGGACATTGTATCTGCCGCTCACTTCATTTGTCTGTGAATGAAATGAAGCAAAAGAAGGTGAGCATCAGCCACTTTTACTTTTTGACATCCACCGGCTTCCTTTAAAACGGGTCAGATTTGGTCCTCCATGTCAAGGGTGCCAAGATTTTGTTTTTCTTAACTTCTGTTCGAAACTAGTCAGCCAACATGAAAGTGGATAATAGCCAACTGCAGGAGCACTTTACGAAAAAGACTTGTTGATGTTTCGGTTTGAATGTCTTAAATTTTTTCCAATACACACAAAACGCAAGTAGTTTGTTTGCCCACTGTGGTTTTCACCATTGTAATCGGCACTCCTGAAGGCAACACCATGACTAAGGTTTGTCCCAAGATGAAAACAAGTTTGACACGCCCACTTCCTTGAAAGTGCACATCAAATAACACATGATGTCATACACATTATTGTACAAAATACAAGACAAAGGGACAGTTCCTTTATAGTAACCTCACGATATCTGATTTATGTGTGGGGGGGGGGGGGTCATTATATTATATATGTGGATTCATGACAAATGGATAAAACCTCTGCAATATACAATACAAACGATATTGACGAATATTACTGCAACTTCAGATCCATATTATGCACATTTGTTGCTGTCATCTTTCGAATGGAAGCAGTACCTTGTATAAACAGTCTACCAAAAAAAAATGAGGTAAACAAATGAGCTGTTAAATTATAGATTTGCTGGATCCCTAGTACGCGATCCTCCGTTATTGCAGATATCCTAACTGCCATACGTGTGCTCAACTCTGAGGAGATCCGATGTTGACTATGCAGTCGGCGTCTCAATTATAGTTGCTAAGCAGCTAACATTAAGCCTGGGAACAGGCCATGTCGTGTCAAGTCATACGCTAGCTAGACATTGCTTGCACTCGTGACGAAGCTTGCACAGAGAACGGCTCAACCGACAACATCACGGATGTCAAATCGGCTTCAAAAGTAAACAGTACCCATTTTAAAGAACCCCAAGTGGGGAAAAGGGAATATCTCACGAGCTGATCGTTGTTTCGGCCCCTGTCCTGTCTGCGATGTTGTGAAAACACAGACGATGGTGATGCGCCGCTTCCTGAAAGCCTACGATGGACAACTTCCGGGATGAGGAGGCGACTACGGATGCTGAGACTTCAGAGAGATTGATAAAATGAAGGCACACTGCAATAAAATTGCTGGTTTTGCTGTTATTTTGTCTCTCAATATACTCTAAAGTGACTAATATAAAATAAATTAGTGATATTCTGAGAGTATTCACGACTGAAGGGCATTTACGTGTAAAAACAAAGGATACCCCGCCTTTGGCTCATTTTCATTGGCTAAGGTGGCAATCCTCTAACCACAATTGGTTGAACTAACTTTCAATCATGACTGCTCGAGTTTGCTGTACCGGCGTGGAAAACTGTCACGGTTTCACGCCTACTGGCTAGGTCAAGGGGAGAGAAGCATGGCAGCATTGTTGAGAGGGTGTCGAAATATTTTATTAAAGTGGAATAAACATGTCAACCCCACCTTAGGTAATGTATCTTTTTTTTCTTTTCTTATATTTCCGTGTGTTCGGACCGAGAAAATGCTAGCTATCGTGACTTCCCCAGTATGTTCGCCAATGCTAGCTGGGTTAACACATTGACGTCATAATTCTATTGTGGACTACCTGCTCTGAGAATTCATCGTGCAATAATTGTAACCTTACATTAGCCATTAAATGTCCGTATGTAAGTGAAATGTGATGTATTAATGCTACTATTATTTCGTGTGTTCTCTGTTTGGTGTAATTTCAAATCTATCATTTGTCAAATCTATCAAGTGTCAAATGCATTTCATTACGTCCACATGGCGAATAAATACCATGCAAGGGCTTATAAAAGCACCTTTTCAAATGGATAAACGCCCCCCAACAACAGCTATTTTATTTCCATTCTTGCAATAACCAAAACAATATTTAAAGAGCACCTAACAGTACTTCCATAAAATGTACGATTAATTTACTTTTCAAGCCGAAATGAGACAGTGAAAAGAACCAGTATTTGGCGCAAATTGTCGTTCGAAACACTCAACTGTTATTGTTATTTTCTGATGGCACTGGACCACGAGTAAGCCTTGTTGCCTAATTAACACTACTGTGATGAACTTTGCTTACTATGGTTTGGCAGATTTAAGATAGACTTATCGTTTGTACTTAATTGTAAAGCCTTTTTGTTGTCTGGTTGGTAAACTGCCAGTGTTTAGTATTGTTACCCTGCCAGGGCTTTGGCTGAGCCTGAACTGTTTAATAGCCTGGCCACAGTTCCCAAAAGCTGGCTGTAAGTGACCTGCACGTCATTTAACAATATTTTTGATGACATTTAATCTGATTCTCATTGCGTTCCCCCCATGCTGTGTTTTATTTAGGAACGCTAATCTTGCAAAAGACTGAATGAGAATTATCACTTGGCTTGTCACAACTAAGCTAGGAGTTTATTGCAGCCAGCTACTGTACTGCACCCCTTTGAATTTCAATTCATCAAGATTCCATCTTTCTCCACCCCCAACCCCTCCACCACCCCATTCAGTGTCCACGCGGTCAATGGCCTCGAAAACACCAGTTGGGTTTATTGGTTTGGGAAACATGGGAAGTCCCATGGCCAAGAACCTGCTGAAAAATGGGTACCCCATTATTGCTACTGACGTTTTTCCTGAGTCCTGCAAGGAGCTGCGGGATCTCGGTGCCCAGGTAACACACAACCTGCCAATGAATTTTAAAGGGGAGATATGTAATTTGGGGGGTTGTAATATTTGTGCTCAAATAGTTGGTGACTTGTTGATGAAATGCTGCATCCACCAATGACAGTCTATCTAATTCAAATCCTACGGGCACTCGATTGAAGTTTGATAACTCTTACCGGTAGTTTCTTATCACCAGCATTCACTTGATTGCTCCGTGAAGTTTTTTTGCTCAATGAGGGGGTGTTTGTGTTTGGCGACGTATGAAATGTATTTATTTTTATAGGTAGTGGACTCCCCTGCAGAAGTCGCTGAGAAAGCAGACCGCATTTTCACAATGCTTCCTTCCAGTCCAAATGTCATAGAAGTTTACACAGGCCCCAGCGGCATCCTTAAGTATGTTTTAGATACTTTCCCGAATCAAGTGGCATACATGCAAGAAGAACATTTGCTGTGTTTCGTAAATGTGCAACTAAAATTCAATTTGGTTTGTCATTAGGAAAGTAAAGAAGGGGACACTTTTGATTGACTCTTCCACCATCGACCCTGCTGTCTCGAAAGAGATGGCGTTAGCTGCGGAGAAGATGGGCGCTGTGTTTATGGACGCACCCGTGTCAGGAGGTAAAACATTTTGCACTTTTCAGTCTCATGGATCAGATGCCACTATTTAAAAATGGAAAATGTACTTGAAGGACTTTATTTTCTAAGCCATTACTACTTTGGTTTTATTTCTCGCTTAACCAAACGCTCTGGTGTTAAACATAAAGGAATGAAAGTAAAGAAGAATCCAATTGTACCCACCGCAGTGGTAATCCTGTGACCCCATTGCCAAGTTCCTGACCTGTCTTGCACTCTTTGTCAATTTAAACCGTGGGACCTTTAGGGTTAATACCGCAACATGGGTTGTAATTACTGAGCCAGTCAGGTGCCATCTCGGGATTTTATTGCTGCATTTGACCGAGAGCTCCTCGAGGCAAGATTGAGGTTTTAAGTCCTCATTATGACGATGCTGTCTGCTCGTGATGGCTCCTTGACAGAGCACAGGATCGCCAGTCGCTCTTAATGGGCCGAGCCGTGCTGGAGAAGTCCCACGTCAGAGCTTTTTCATGTTGATGGAGCAGTAATGGCGGCTATCCCATGTTAGTGCCTTTCATGTGGGATAAAGAGTCATAAAGAGGAGAAAAGCTTCCCTCAAATGGGGTAGAGGAGAGGAGGACGAGAAGGAGACACTTCCACAGTTAAGCTGTCCGCCGCATCATCTTATCAGACTCGCACGCAAATTTGGGTTTCGGTGTGCATTTCAAGCGTGCCACATTCCGGGAACGCGCCCGCCTGCTCTTTGTGACAGTAGCTGACTTTCGATTGCGCAATGCCGAATTAATCACGACACACTCCGCTGCCCGTGCGCTCCCCTTACAAACACAGACTGGGCCTTTGGCATGTTTACCAGCTGGCGTCTGCAGGAGCGAGCGACTGGAGATCAGAGCCCTTAAGCCAGATACTCTCCCTTAACACACACGCTGTTTACATACGACAGACAGTGAACAGTTAGTGTGTGCACTCCTCTGTGAAGGTTTGTGCTTCTTCCCTGTCTCCCAAATAAGCCGCTTTTACGAGCCCGAGATGACCAATGATTGACCTTTTTTTTTACTCTTTGCGTGCTATTTAGCAATTAGCAATGAGCTATGCCATCCACATTCAGAAATGAGGTTTTACGTCCATCCGTCCATTCTCTAAACCAGAAAAATCTGTAGTTCATTGAAACTCTTTGAGTTGACCGAGTGCATTCCATTAGCACACCAAAATAAGCAAACCAAAATAATTAATCTACGCACATTTGTTTCTTAGATGGGAAATTGTCAATGCCTGTGTATAGGAAATTAATTAATATACTCTGCTCCTACCAGGAGATGGCACCCTACCCAAATAGGGCGCACTCAGAGGGTTGTGAAAAATAAAAGCTGGGCTCTCTGACTACCCTGCTTTTTTCCACAGGCCAAGCGAAACATGTCACAGTAAGCAAAGCACCGCCTTGAATTAGGCGCTCATGATTATTGTTTAATCCCTTGCGTGCTCTTCAAAGGAAGTCCTGAGTTGTCACGCTTTTGTGGAGTTTTCAAAACAGTTCCGCCATTCAGTCTAAGAATCATCCAAATGTTTGCTGTGAAAAAGGCCTACGGAAGCCGTTGTGTTTTTTGTTTTTTTTTTTTTTTAATTCTTCTTATGTTTCATTCTAAACAGGCGTGTAACTGAAGTCTGCAACCATCCGCGTATAAAAACACGAACTGGTGATCGACAGGAACATGCGTTGCCTTTGAAATGGCAAAACTGCCCCACCCAACTCTCAATTCCTGCTGCCGATCCAGATCCAGCCAAACAGGTCAAAACGCTACCAATTTAATATTAATTATATAATTTAATATAATCATTATCGTAGGTCAATTTAGAAATTCAACAACTTAATCCAAGATGGAAGAAAAGTTTTCTTTGGCAAGCCTACTTCAATGGCGTGAGCAAAACCTTGGCTAGTGCCAATGCTAATCCTGCTCGACTACATGAGGGCATTGTGCAGTATATTCACGCCGAGACTGGGTCTCGGCTCTCCTTACAACGCCCTCACTCGCACAACTGTCTCCCCCCGTAAAATGCAGAGTTGATCCTCAAACAAAACAAACTCTTATGTCACAAGCCAAGGGTGTTGGCACACAACTTGCAAAAATAGAAGCTTTGCCTAACACGTGGCATGGTCGTTAGCAGTAATCACCCAGAATGCCTGTGTTGGTGCCCGTGTGCCACGCATGACGGCTTTAACCCCCCAAAAAAACAATTTTCATTGTGTGAATTTTTTTCCCAGCACTGGGAAAGCAATGTTGCCGCAAATGGAAATGAGAATAGCTGAGCTGTTGTTGGATCAGGCGGATGCTGCTCATTGGCGAAGCCTTCAAAGACCTCGACCGACTACCCATTTACACACTGCACTAATCATATCCACGCCACATCAAACGCAGTTCATTGGTTGCAGCGTATCATTTGCTGACTGTTGGAACGTCATTCTCAAGTCTGAAGGAGATTTTTTTCCAAAACCAAGGCCGGCAACAGTTTCGTCTGTAGTCCGTCTTGCCAGTGTACCGGCCTGCGATTTCAGTTACATTTATAAACGTCGAAATTTATCCTTCGGAAACACGGACCATTATTTTCAATTAAAAAAAAAAAAAAACGACTCACAAGGCAGTAAAATGGATGCCAGACCGCAATGTCAGATAGTATGTCGTGAATGTGGCCTGTGTGCTATACAAATAATAAATCCATGCCGGTCGCAGTAACAATGCTATAAATGTACTCGATATGGGCATTTGGCTCAATTGCCTTTAGTGACCATGAGGAAATTGTATTTCTTTTCTTCTATATTTTAATAGGATGGGAAAATCTCACCGAATGTTTGGAAGTCTAGTTCAGCAGAATCATATTTCCCGCAGGACTTTGTGGTC